CTTTATAGTTCTGTTCTGCCAAAAAAAAAATACTCTGTGTATCTGCTAGCAATTTTTTCCATTGTGTACACTCCATGGACGCATGTGCACTGCAGTATGCACCCCAGCCCACTCCTGCGATCAACAATGTAGCTGCAATGATGTAACTCCAGTACACATGCACAAGAGTTAGATCATCAGTAGCTGCCAAATGACCAAAGGGATGCCAGGAGAAAATTGGGAGAAGATGGCAGTGGTAAGGTGGAGCACAGACCTGCCAATGCAGAATGAAGCTAAACTAGAGGGTAAGTCTGCCATAATGTGCAAGTATGCTATGCATACTTGCACATTATGGTAAATGCTCTAGAGACCTGTAGACACTATAGTTCTTTAATATAGTTACATAGTTACATAGTATTTGAGGTTGAATAAAGACATTAGTCCATCAAGTCCAACCTATTAGGATCTCATTCTAGGAGTACCTGTACCCCTGTATATTGACACTAAACTCAAGGGTTAAATCTTAAAAATGTATCACTTTTGTAGTGTCACTTTAAGTTCCAGGCCCACTTCAAGAAAGAACCAGATGGCGAGCCTGTAGTTTCATAAAATAAAACTTAGACTATGCCCAAAAAACTTAAAGGAGAACTATGGGGTTAAGGCTTTTCCCCATAGTTCTCCTTAGGGTAACGGGAGGACACAAACTAGCATCCTCCCGTCACCTTAGGCTCAGTATACTGCGAGCTGTAGCTTGCGGTATACTGAGACGCCAAAGTATACCGTAAGCTACTGCTCGCGGTATACTGAGACGCAGCAGCTGAAGCGGATCCCGACAATTGTGCCGGGATCCGCCTAGCTGCGTGACTGACAGCTGGCTCTGCCTATCTATCTCCCCCCTCCCCCATCCGATCTGCCAGTCAGCGCTGGCGGAGCGTGGAGGGGGGAATCCAGCCCCTCCCCTGTTACGGCAGAGAGCCGTGACAGGATCGAGATGTGAGCGAACGCCGGTATGTGTTCGCTCACCTCCCGATCTACTGAGCCGACCTGTGACAGTCTCATTGTCACAGGTCGGCTAGAACTATGAGGTGAGTGAAAAGCACTCACCTCATAGTTCTCCTTTAACTAGACAAATGTATATATATTTCAAGAGCTGTTCAGTCCAATCTAAATTTGTCCATAGACTTTAGATGGCAGCCTCTCAATCCCACTTTTTTAAAGATCTCACACTAAGCCATGCCTGCAGAGTAGATGACCAGGAAGAAAGTAACCATTTGTCACCAAAGGGACTTGAACATGGTTATATGTAAATGTTTCAGCACTTCCATTATGGTCTTTTCAACCAGCAGCAAGAGGAAGGAAGGAGACCCTACTGTAAAGTAGACGTTAGGCCTGCTTTTAAAACATATATTGTCCACCTAACACCGTGGTATTGGCTTACACTGCCACAATATATATATATATATACAGTATGCTGTGTTGTCTGCTGGTGCCATTTATCTTTAAATGAAAATAGTAAAAACAGAATCAGTCACATGCTTAACAAAACATCCCAAAGGTAAATAAGGAAGAAGAAAGAGTCTGTGAAGGTTCTCATTCATCCAGGTCATGGTATATCTGTAAAAAATATGTCAAGGCAACTGGACTTGCTGTATTTTTCTTGAACATATACAATATATACTACATGTATTCAAGAAAAATACAGCAAGTCAAGATGAAAGAGGCACACAAAGGGATAGGTATGTGCTATAAATTTACACAAAATATAAAAACAATCAACAATATTTAATAAGGGAAAATATTTAACCCTCTGTCGTCAGTAGGGTTCCTGTGGAATGTATGCACCCTTCCCAAAAGACATTTCACCACTTATCTAAGTGGCTTCTAAATTGTATACCAGGAACAGATCCCAGCATTTTATCCAAACAGATAAGTTACCTTAATCCAATCACCAAAATGAATCAAGGCAGATGGTGATTTTCCAAAAACATGACAGGGGTGAACATGGTGGGTTACTAGACATATAGAATCTGCCTTGAGACATTTCATGACATCATAGTGATTGGGTCAAGGTGATTGAGTTGCCTGTATAGCTATAAATGCTGAGGTCTGTTCCTGACATACTGTACATTAGAGCTAAGAAAGCCACAGAAGAGTAGTGAAATGTGTTCAATGTAAAAGAAAAAGTTCAGTTGAATGTGACTAACTACTACTGACTATACCATTACCTGGATAAATTACAATCTTCACAGACCTCCAGGGAATGTATATCTTTCTGTAAGTTCATGCCTCACCCACTGGATCTTTATACCCAGCACATGTCTTTTTCTGAACCAGACACCTCATTGACAGTACTGTTTCATCTCATGGGTTTTCTGGTTCTGTTTACAGTCTTGTGCTGCTTTTAAAATAGCAACCGACATGGAGTCTACTTCCTATGTCTTTTATTTTTCACCATAGTAATTATAATAGTAACACATTGCAATATGACTTTTCCCCAGACATATAACAAGGTGATCTATAGATTAGACATTGCTTCGGTTTGTGTATTTTCCACATTATTTCCATATAAATAAGCCATCCATAAGCCTGGTGGGTACTTAGGAATTCTCTGTACTTGGTATATTTATGAAACCCCAAACTTTTTTCAAAGAGAGAGAGATAGAGCGAGAAAGAGAGAGCGAGAGAGCGAGAGAGAGAGGTCAGCATAATGGCTGGTTTTGATCTCCTATATATTTACAAACCCTAGTTGCAGATAGATTGTGATTTGTGCTCTGAACTTTTTCAGTTTCCACTGAGGTTATGCGAACATATCAAACAATTGGAGATTTACAAGCCTTTATGGCAGGAACACCTTTCCATGTAGATGGCCTTTTTAGTGAAGAGTACAGTCTTTTTGGGCTTATCACAGTTATATTGCCATTTGATTGCAGATTTTCATACCACTTCTGACATAATGTCCCTAAACGTTATGAAAAAAAGTTTCTTACTCTTTGCTAAAAACATAATGTAGAATCTCACTGTAGGATGTGTGGCGTATTTAGAATCTGAGAGTTTTTACCTCTTCTAGACATGGAACCCCCTGCAAAAAAAAATTGTTTAATTTAATTTCGGATTTGGATTTTTATTTCTTTCATTTTCCAGATTTTGGATCGCAAATTCTATTTGGTTTGTTATTCAGATTTCGTATCCATCTGAAATTTCATTTCAGAACGATCCACAACAGGAAGTCACATGACCGTGCCTGTAATTCAACCCCTAACAGCCAAGAACACTATCTGATTGGCCAGAGAACAGTCACATGTCCAATTTAGTTTTGCTTTTAACTTTTCATTTTGAATTTTCGTTATTCGGATTCGTTTGCATTCGATTCTGGAAATTCAGATGCATTTGAATGTCCGAATTTAAGGAAATTCCTACAAGTTTCAATTCAGAACAAAACAAACTTTCCATGTCTAACCTCTACCTCTTCAGATAAATCAGCGAGCAGTTAATGTGATACAATTGCTTTTCCATGCTATATTTGGAATTAGTTGGCTGGTGGGGTATATCAGGGTACTATACATGTGAAAGTAATTAGTTTATTTTTCTATTATATGGACAAGTGCCAAAATTGATTTTAGATGTAGATTTTTATGAATTTTAAACTACAATTAAAGAAATTGCGTTTAATATTATAAATGTCTTGTGTGGTCTAGTTTTTGCACCTGAAAAGTCCAAATGCCAAATTAATTATGTTTGTATGAGCACAATAGGGTATGTGTTAAGAGCCTCTAGTTACATTACAGCCTAGGATGGCCTTTACCGCTTTCAAGAGCTTCCATCATTCCTTCCTAACATCTACATCCTATCCTTGTGGATTCCGGTGTAGGTCTTCCACATGGTCATCTTTTTCTTGGCTTAACAAGAATAAAGTTTTTGGTTGCTTTATTTTCATCCAGTCAGATTATATGACCTGTCCATCTGAGCGTGTTTATTTGAAATTCACAACATCAAAGTCACCAAACAATTGATAGAGGTCACAGTTCTGTGGCACCAATGTTTGGTCAGGTGTGTCCTCACTTTTGCGATTACACATCTAATCAGAGAATACTGGACAGAGTGGACCATAAAGAAAAGGATTGTTACAGTCAGTTGTTACAATACTGATCCTACTTTTACCTGGAAATCTCAGTGGAGTATATTTTAAATTCACCTGCTAAAGTGCCTGCTGCTATTCATTTGAGAGAGCAAGCAGATTGAAAATTAATGTTTTCTCTCTTGAAATATTTATAAATCAGTTCAATGAACAATAATGTCATGCGATGTTTTATTGCAGTTTTTTAGTTAGCTTGTTCCTCTGAAACATTTGACCTGACCCATGGGCTGAAAATGGACCGTGGGGCACATTTTAGAACATTTCCTGCAGTCATTCCTATTGTTTTTAACTAGTATATGGGATACATTGCTTGCAGACAAAGAAAGCTTTCACAAACCTAGGCAATTCAAACTGACCATATACGGTATGATGACAAAGCACATATTATAAGTTACCTTCATAGAATAGCAACTAGCAATAGGTCCAGAAATAAAAGCTGCTAAGTAATATACAAATCTTGCCTTTACCTGAGCCTCTGTTTTGAGCCTTTAGGCTGTTTATCACATGAAAGGATCAATAAAATAAAAAGCTGACAGGAGGAAAGAGCAGCATTGATGACTTGTCAGTGTTTGGCTGCTCCTTCATTATTCAGTTTCTGTCAAACGTCAAAGCTGCAGTGGCAATCACAATTGTCTGACTTTAGTTAGCATCTCTCTGTATATGATCTTAAAGTGAACTTGGCCTGGACTCAATTGTAACATCAGTGTTAGAATATGTGTGGCAATTCAAACTGATCACTGAGCATCTATGGAGCATCCTTGCATCTTAGACCCAGACTGTACATGGGACCTCAAGCTTTGCCCAAGCTCTGGCTAATTATGTAATTCTTACTATTAATAAAATGAAGGTTTTTTTGTTATAGATGAATGTGAAATGTTTATTAAATTACAGCCATCTTATGCAATACTTTATAAGATAAAAATCAATACAAAGATCAATGCTTATAAAATCAAAAACGAACATGTAATGTAGATTTCTTGCGTGCACCTTGTGACATCATGGACACCATGACATCACAGCAGAACAGGGTTCACTCTTGCTCCATTTTAATTTGGCGATCAAAGTGTTCTCAAAGTCCCATGCTTCATTTCGGCAGAGTCCATGTACAATGGGGCCGATGATGTACTGCTGGAAAACGAATTGTCAACCTTTCGGAAGTTCTCTTTCCTCAATGACACACATTGTACAACAGACAACGAGCAGGACAGGATCCTCTAAATATTACAATTTTATTTATAGAGTCCGACATGTAAATACTGACCCATTCACTGTTAATGGGGCCTGCAATGGTATGCATTAGAGAGCCATTGAAAGCAGTTGCAGACTTTCATGGCATTGCAAGACTCAGCGGCAGCAGCAACAGGCATTGGGCCTACATGAATTTCCTCCTCGTCCTGCGAGTGCCAAGCAGTTACGCAGGAGAAGGTCCTAGGTAACGTATATGGTGAAAGCTTCTTCCATTGCAGGTAAGTGAATGTGTAAGCTTGATATTGCTTCAGTCTAGGTTCCTCCAACTGTTTTGTCTACAGTCCCATAAAGATGCCCATAAAATCAGATCCGTTTTGGACGGTGATGGGTGCCCCTGCACCATTGTCGACAAATATTGATGTGTACTGGCCACTCTGGAAGAGGAAAAAACAAGGGAATTACATGAGATACACGATACATTTGTGAGATCTAAGGCATTGCTGCCTCTTACCGCTAGTCTTAGGGGATTTGGTGATATCCCTACTGTGCTGCTCATTGTTCTCCTGGATGGAGTCTCAGAAATGAGGAAGCAAAGCCTTACCACACAGGAAATATTGGTGACTAGCCCTTTCAACTCTGCCTGCCTTTTTTGGCACAGCTTTTAGGGTTCAGTTCCTCTTTAAAGCAAAATCTCAGGCAAACAGCTGAATACACAGATTATACAGTATATATATATATATATATAAGCTGTTATGCCTGTCATTTTCTGTTTATTTAATGGGACATTCAAGCATCACTAGATTACTGACTAAAGGCATTGGGATGGAATGGTCCACTAGATCAAAATCTGAGTACTAAGCAGATATGCTCTCTGTATGACGGGAGTATAACGTTAATATAAACAGACCTGCTGCTTTACCCTAACGTACGTGGGCACTGTATCCTATAGGTGAAGCCAGGTCAACGAAATGCTGTACATAAAGTGTTTAGAATATAAGACCTGTCTACCTGCAGGTGGTAGAAATAAAAATGTGACTCGGCATAAAGACAAGCCCTTTGTCCATGTAATCTAAGATGTCTTTTTCCTCTTAAAGGCTTGTTTCAACTGAAATTTCATATACACCATCTGCATATTACTTAGTGTTTCAGTGACAAGACAAACACTTCATCTGGTCAAAAATGGCCAGGTAGCTCTGCAACCTTACAGTTAGGCCTTTCAGAGGGGCACCGCGATCAGGTCCGCCTGCCAGTTTTTCAGGCAGGTCTGATCAGAAGCCCAATGCTAGTCTATGGGCAGCAAGATCTAAAGGGATGTGCACCCGTTTAAATACGATTACCCCCAACTCCGGCCAGGTCCAGAAAAACAAATGGAACAGAATTCCGGTTTGGTGGACCTGATCGTGGTGGATTGGGGGTTATACTATGTAAGCGGACATGTGTCCCTTTACATTCGACTCCCCATAGACCAACGTGGGTCCGGTAATGTCAGTTTTTCCTCCACAGTGATATCCGTTCTGATTAGCAGGGAATCCGTGCATAGATTCCCTGCTGATTGGAGCTGAAGGTCGCCCGTGTGAACGGGGCCTTAACGTATTGTTATGGAGGGTATGGAAGTAATTGAGCAACATATCTGTATGCTTGAGGTTGGCAGCTTCTGCACATCAAAGGATTTCCACTGTCTCAATGCTTTGCAACTGAGATAATCTGAGACTGAAGTCCCACATTGAAAATTATTGATCCAGATACAGATTTATTCCAAGTTAGCAGTATAAGTCTTTATCACAAAACCAATGTGTTTTGGGGGTCAGAGGGAGCCCCCTTCATTAGGGCTTGAAGGGATGTACTAACTTCTGGACTGAAAGTGAAAATGAATACACATTGAGCTAATTTGACCAAGTTGTTAATTCACTAGCATGCAGAGTCAGTCAGCAGTTGGTTTTAACAAGCAGCAGTCTTTTAATACAACTTGGAATAAATCTGTGTTTGAACAAATATGTTTTAATTGATGTCAGTGTCCCTGCTGGGTAGATTCTACCCGGTTTATTTGTCTTGTCTTCATACCTCTATTCCTAAGGTGTTTCTGGGACAGGAAATGAATCCCTGAATGGACTCAGACTGCAAAAAATATACTGACAAGGGGTTTTAACCTTTACATACTCTACTAAAACTAAAACAAAAAGGTTTGACACTTTAAAGTTTAATTCCCTTCCTATATTCTGTCTATTCGGTGCAACTGACCTCCTTTCAGTGCCCTCACAATCTCTGTAGTCCAGTAAACTTGGGTGGCATAGTCTGTAACCACAGAACACAAAAACTAGTAGATAACTCAATCACAAGATTTCCTTCCAATGTTTATTTAAAGATCCCAGAGCTTCATAAGCTAAGTTTGTTTGGAGACCAAAATGTCAACTCTCTAAGTAAACATTTTCCTTGTGAGTGAGTCTTCTGCACCCTGGCTGGTACATATACATATAAGCTTGTTTAGTCAAACCCCTCTTTGCTTACACACCTCAGACTGTTGAGTGAACACGTTCGAGAAGGTATTTGCATACGGCACAAACAAACGGTTCATTGCTTTTATAAACTCTTGCTAGGAAAACAGTTTTCAGAGCAAAGTTCTTGGAAGCGAAGCAGAGCAGCAAATCAAACTATTTTAAAGATGTTCATCCGCAAGAAAAACAAATGCAGCCGTGGATATCTAAAGACTCTCTAGATGATGTCTGCAGCTTCCAAAAACAATAATAGTAATTTCTAGCTGTCTCACGCAGACAACTGCTAATGTTCCAGAAAAATAACTGAAGAAAGGACTGCTTTACGGAATTTTATGATTCCGAGACTTTCAATGAAACGAAGAAAAAAAAAGGTTCAAATAAACAAAGGCTGGAGGATTCCTCTTTATAGATCAGCCTTGAGGGCCACTTGCAAAAACAAAATACCATAAGGAATGGCATCCTGGGAAAAATAAGACGACTCCTTGAAGTGTATTACAAATAAAATATAAACAGAGAGGGAGATATTTTGCTATCCCAAAGCGGTTGTAATTGAATGGACAGTTAGAAATCATAAATGGGCAATTCATCAAGTTTCATGATCTGTTTTGGTGTCTTATGCGGTTAGATTTTCATTGGTGAGTCAACTAGAGCTACGGCTGATTTAACAATAATTCAGTTTAATGCATGGCAGTCTGACAGTCTGAATAAAGAAACAAAATATTTAAACTGTGGGCAGAGAGCTCTCTACTCTTCTGTGAGGATAAACAGTCTGTCTCTAGCCCTCAGTAGGAGACTACTATGCTCACAGCCAGAAATATTTGGTCCTCCATGAGAACAGTGAACCTCATAATCAAAGTGCCTAAGGCTGGGTTCACACCTAGGCGTATCGAATATGCGCGTTTGTGATTTGCGCTAAAAAACGCGTGACAAACGCACGTTTCCGAGGGCTTCCTGGCTGTATCCCAATGCATACGCACGGCAAATACGCCCCAAAGAAGCTCCTGTACTTCTTTGGGCGTAGGGCGTTTTGCAGCGCGTTCCTACACGCTGTAAAACGCCCAGGTGGGAACCATGCCCATAGGCAATGATTGGTTTTCACATGTTGAGCGTTTTACAAAGCGTAGGCCTGGTTCACACCTGGGCCCAAGGCCTGGTTCACACCTGGGCGTTTTACAGTGCGTTCCTACACTCTGTAAAACGCTCAACATGTGAAAACCAATGATTGCCTATGGGCATGGTTCCCACCTGGGCGTTTTACAGCGCGTAGGAACGCCCTGCAAAACACCCTACGCCCAAAGAAGTACAGAAGCTTCTTTGGGGTGTATTTGCCGCGCGTATCCATTGGGATACAGCCAGGTAGCCCTCAGAAACGCGCATTTGTCGCGTGTTTTTATTCGATACGTATATTCGATACGTCTAGGTGTGAACCCAGCCTAAAGGAAAATGTTCTTGTTACCTAAAGCTGCCAATCAGATTCCCTCTTTCATATTCATAGCAGAGGGTTAGGCTTATGAAAAAAAGAATATTACTGGTATCTATAGACAACAGTTGCTCATTTTAAATAAAGCTGATTTTGAAGCTTACATACTGTATGACTAGTAGACTTTTAGCTACCTGATTAGGAAACCTGCTATCTTTTAAGCCTAATTCTCTGAAGAATTGTCTTAAAGAGCATGAGCAACCTGAGAATTGCTTTAAGGGAGTTCAAGGAAAGCATGTAGTAAGTTGTTGCCATAACCATTCACATGCTTGCTCTTCCACTTCCTGTCCTGAGGCGTCTTGGTCTGGGTGTAGTCAATAGCAAAACCCTGTGGTGCACAATAGTTAGAGCTGGCAATACTGAGTGTATATGTTTCAGCTATGAAGGCATCAATGGCATGTAGTGAGACCACTACATTTGGTACCGCAGATGCTGAAAGGAATAAAACAGTTGCTTGACACAAAAGTGTGCTTGGGAGCCATGGTGGTAATTCCACCACCGATTCCAGGAATATAAGGTCTGAATCCACATTTGTGGCAAAAAGAAGCATATGAGGAATGTAATTAAATAAAGTTGTACAACCAGAAAGATTTTAATAGTCTGTAAGTGGCAACAAATGGTTTTCTACCCTTAGATAAGCTTGCCATACATATGGAAATTTGATAGAATGATTGCATGTTTGATTCCATTTTTTGCTGAAACCTCCAAGCAAATAAAGATGTAATTTGGGGATTTTGATCAACTGATTGAAATTGCCATGATTGAGCGCAGTGAAAATATCTGATCATTTGACTTACTTCCTCCCATTTCGATTTTAATGAAGTGGATCATTCAATAAGCTTTATTGAAGATGTCAATGTAATGCCCAGTTTTACTTAACAATTGACCAAATTGTGCTATTCAGGTTGATTTTATTCCCTCCCTCCCTAGATGCACATACTTGCCTTTCCTTTACTGCTGCTCTGTTCTGATCTGTTCTGTGTAAGCTTACCAACGGCTGAGGACTCTTCCTGACCAATGTAACAGGGCTGGGCAAATCAGAAAGTACCAGCTATATCAAGGGGTGGATCATATGCTTTTCCATAGATAGAAATGCCAGGAATTTTCTTCGTCCCGTGACTGAGCGAACATCAAAAGACATAAAGAAAGGGAAGTATATGCTGCTGGAGACGGGGGCAGTAAAACTACCCCACTACTTATACTTGCATGGGCAAAGCAAAGGTTTATTTTAAGAGACGATGTGTGGCTGTTAGCAGGAGGTAAGCTAGGCCCACCTGTCCTTTACAATGTTAGAATAATATGTGACTAACCTGTAACTGTAGCAATCCTTGGACATGTACAGTAAATATTTTACTGTTACTTTCCAATCCAGCAATTACTTCCAGAGACCTGAAAAACACAATCAGAGACAACAATTTAAGATATAGCAAAAGTGATGGCCAGGAAAGTTTTGGTACTTCACTACATTTCAATCTAGAAACGGTATGCATAATCAATTGCCATCCAAAAAAAAAAAACACTTATAGGGTTTTTCCACCAATCCATTTGAAGGCAGTTAAGGAATGGTGTTTGACTTGTCTAGACCTCATCAAAAGAGATGTTTTCTGTCAGAAAAAGGATCTCTTAAAGGAAACCTTAAAGGACAGAACTATAGGAGCTGCCATTATTGACATACCTCTAAAGATGCAGCCTTTATGGTGGATATGGTTGGCACATATGGGATAAAGATGTTCTTTATCCCATATGCAAGCATTCGCTTTTTAGTATGATCAGGAAGCCGGGAGGCGGGTCATGACGTGCCGCCTAGCTTCCTGATTATCTAGGAAGCCGGCTTCATTTATTGATAGGCAGCCTTGCTTCCTGACCAATCAGGAAGCCAGGTGGCACGTCATGACCCACCTCCTGGCTTCCTGTTTATCTAGCAAGCCGGCGTCACTTGTTGCCAGGCAGCCTGGCTTTCTGATCAGGAAGCTAGGCGGCGCGGATGCCGGTATTGGTATTCGATATCGGCGAGTACCGAACAAAATATCGGTACTCGTACTCGATACCGAAAAAACATTATCGGTGCATCCCTAGTTTCAATAAGCTTAGGCAATGTCACAACATTTATTTCCATCCAGAGTTGCATTCATTTTTCACCATCTTGTAGTGATGATGGGAGAGACGGACCACTGTGTAAAGTCTTCTCCAACACATCCCTGATTCTCAGTGGGGTTAAGGTCTGGACTGGCCAATCCATGTGTGAAAATGAGGTCTCATGCTCCCTGTACCACTCTTTCACAATCTGAACCTAATGAATCCTGGCTTTGTCATCTTGGAATATGCCCAATGTGCCAAAAATCCATTGATGGAAAAACCTAATCATTCAGTATATTCAGGTATGTTTTGCTTAGCTAAATCCAGGTGGTGACTTTTTTTTTGGACAGGCAGTGTATAAAGTAGTCGTCTGTATTCTTTCCAGGAAGGAGAGGGTTAAATATAATCATTTTTCAATCACTGCCTCTTAGTTCCCTGAGGCTTAGTGAGAAGTGAGAGACTGGAGTACACAAATAAGCCTGACATAGCCAGCACATTCACAGTGCGCAGTGCGTGATGCCAGGCAGGAGCCGGCCCTGACATGCATGTCTCTGCCCGAGATTCTTCCAGAATGATGACACTGTGTCCACTCATCCCCGCTCAATATCAACCTTGATTCACAGCCTCGCTGGAATGGAGAGTTGCTGGGAGCTAATAATCTCATTTCAGGAGAATTGCAAAGTCAGAAAATTCCGGTCCAGAGTCATATAGAAATCATGTCGAGGACAACTCTACCCAAACTGATAAGGTGACAGAGTCTCCTTATCCAAGGGCTTGTTCTCTTATTGCTTGATAAATATCCCTCAATGTGTTTTCTGTAAAGATTATGGACGTTCAAAATAACCAACAAATAAACTACTCAAGAATTGAATTGCAAATATCTGCAAATACACGAGGAAGCCATACTGCTGTTTTAAGGCACCTCTGGTGAGTGCGGTCCCCAACTCTAAAGAATTTAAGTTACCCAACTATGGCACATATATAGCAATACACAAAAAGAGAGTCATTGAAGCTAATTCTACTGATTTTTTTTCTCTGCTGACTAGCTTTACATTGTACTGGGGCCCCCCTTTGTACCGATTTGTATATTGCCCTGCCCATGCTAACCTTTCCCCTTTTGCCAGGTTTAGACAGATCAGCGCAATTGGTTCTTTTATTTTTAAAGATTATAGTTTCCCTTTAAATATCACCAATACAGGCAAAATGTACAAACTGGTGGCAGTGAAGGCAAGAAGTAACAATGCTGTTCTATATATCGCAGCTCTTTGTCATCGTTCTGTAATATTATTATATTTTATTGCACAATACCGCTAAACTCAGCGATCACTATCGTTGTTTGTGTGAAATTCTGGAAAAAGCATTTCTAATTGCTGCATTTGGTCTTTGCTGCGTGCTCCTCTTGTTTTTCTCTGGGTGTCGATACCTCCCTATGCTTTTTATCGATCATGCTACATGAGCATAATAAATTCATGCCAAGATTCTACACTCCCGTGAGGTAGGAGCGTATCGGATGTCGCAGAGTTTCAGTGGTTACACTAACTATCGGCTATGTGTTACAGTCACAGTGGCACATTCCAGCAGCATGACTACATCTTATTATTCCAACACATGGGATGCCATAGACGAGTAAAACTGGAGTGTCTGGTATTTGGTTTCCTAATGAAAATTAGCCTCATTACTGGCCGTGATGTCCAAGCTGTTACCGTAATCTACTATACATTCACTTTCAGCGCCAGGAGCTCAGATCTGGTGTTTTTTTGGCGCAGAGCTCTCGGTGTTGAAAGCGAATTTGTACCCTAAGGCACACGAACCTGCCCTGTAACAATAACCGTCATACTAACCCTACCTGTAACGTTAATCTTCACACTAACCCTACCCATAACACTAACCTTAACACTAACCATTCCTGTAACATTAACCTTCACACTAACCCTTCATGCAATACTAACCCTCCTTGTAACATTAACCTTTACACTAATCCTACCTATAACACTAACCTTAACACTAACCATTCCTGTAACACTAACCTTCATGCTAACCCTCTCTGTAATACTTACCCTCCCTGTAACATTAACCTTCACACTAACCCTTCATGTAATACTAACCCTCCTTGTAACATTAACCTTCACACTAATCCTAACTATAACACTAACCTTAACACTAACCATTCCTGTAAAACTAACCTTCATACTAACTCTCCCTGTAATACTAACCCACCTTGTAACACTAACCTTCACACTAACCTTACCTATAACACTAACCTTAACACTAACCATTCCTGTAAAGCTAACCTTCATACTAACCTTGCCTGTAATACTAACCCTTCTTGTAACACTAACCCTTCCTGTAACATTAACCTTCACACTAACCCTTCATGTAATACTAACCCTCCCTGTAACATTAACCTTCACACTAACCCTTCATATAATACTAACCCTCCTTGTAGCATTAACCTTCACACTAATCCTACCTATAACACTAACCTTAACACTAAAATTTCCTGTAAAACTAATCCTCCCTGTAAAACTAACCATCACATTAACCCTTCATGTAATATTAACCTTCTCTGTAACACAAACATTCACATTGACCCTTCTTGTAAAACTAACTTTCAAACTAACCCTAACAATAACCCTAACACAATCACCCTAACACTAACCATATAATCATAACACTAATCCTAACACTTTAACTCTAACAATAACCCTGTAACCCTTACCCTAAACGTATTACTCTAATACTAAAGCTGGCTGTATGCTGGTAGATTTTTGTATGAACGTTCTTTTGAAAAAAAACTAATCAGAAGAATCTATAATGCCATCAAACACTTGTCGAATGTCTTTTTAAATTTCATTAGATTTTAATATATTCGATTTTGAAATGAATGGAGATTCCCAAATGAAGATCACATTTATTGTTAGAATTTCATTAGTTTGGGAAACATTTCTCATCTCACTCCTTCAATTTTTATCATCACTATACTTGAAAACTACTTAAAAAAATAAATGTAAAACTCGAATGAACGTTCTAAAAGCAAATTTTTTCAAATGAAATTCTACTGGTGTACGAGATTAACCATCCCTGTAACTCTAACAGTAATCCTCCCTGTAATTGTAAAACTAACCCTTTCTGTAACCCTCACTGTCATTGCAACCCTAGCTCTGTCTAATGCAAACTCAAACCCTTGCTGCATACTCACTTCTCCCATTTTAGGATCCTTTGAAGACCAACCCTTCCTATGCAGAAAGATACCAGCACCAGAAGCACAGGACCAGAATTTACTGTTTAGTTTATTCTCTGATGCTGTTCCTTTCCAGTCATCCCTCTTAAAACCCCAGTCTCAGCAATCATCTACATGTGTCTGTTGAATCATTTCCAATGTCTTTCTTTTATAGCCAGATCTTAATAATAACAATAATAATCAAACCAATTTTGGGAGAAACTCTTATTTTCTCATATGTTTTGAGAAATGTGGAAACGTTTTTCAGAGGTATCAGAACCAACGAATTTATGATGGCTGCCCTCTTAAAGCTGATCTTTACTTTTAAAAAAACGTGCGAGCACTTCTGCAATAAAAGCTTATTGCCTGCCTGATCACAATCTTCTTTTGAATGTTACTGAGCTCCATGCTCGGCAGGCCTCAGTACTGGGATAGTTTAACCTCTACAACATGCGTAAGAGTCCCGTCATCCTGGGCCAGCCAATCCAGAAAGCTGAAGGTGCCAAACCCAGAAGACCAGGTAAAGATGTTGGTGCCAGCAATGGTGCTTGTGGGCATCATTGGCCTAACTTACATGTTTATGGCATGGGGAGGAGGGAGGGTTGGCCAGATATCCCTGGTACCACCTAATAGAATAATATTGCACAAGGTTTTTAGATCTGTCCAGTCAATGTTTACTCTAATCCTGGTGGACCAGATGTGTCTGGGGATAACTGTGACTGAATGTAATCTCATATCAAAATGTTAGAGACGTATTTGGTGTTAAGGTCAATTTTTACTCTAATCCTGGTGGACCAGATGTGTCTGGGGATAACTGTGACTGAATGTAATCTCATATCAAAATGTTAGAGACGTATTTGGTGTTAAGGGTGACCTAGGCCTAGCAATGTCCAATGTCAAGGGTGACCTAGGCCTAGCAATGTCTAATGACAGGGATGACCTAGGGCTAGCAATGTTCAATGTCATGGATACCCTAGGCCTAGCAATGTCTAGTTTCAAGGATGGGGAAGGCCTTGCAACGTCCAAGACTGCCCATAAAACTTGTATCCTTACCAAAACCAGCAACAATTATCTCACATACATAAATGTCTTT